AATGAAAATTTACAGAGACTTTGGATTTCCATTCATTAATTGTTGCACCTTTCTCCCCCCTAGTTTGTTCTTCTCTTTGAAAAGTAAAAGGAAAAATTCTTTCATTGTTATACAATCCCTCCCCCCATGTCCACTCCACTATTCAGCCTTCATTCTGGACTCCTGTCATGACAATAATACTTAATCACATATCTCTTTTAAACAGTTTTCTCCCTCATCTGTTTTAATGCAGTATACATAATTTATCTCATCTTTCTCAGTCTCCCTCCAATCCCAGTGTCAGTCCCATTTTACAACAGTGGCACTATGCAGTATTTGTCCATTTGTGACTGAGATATATCACTCAGCATAATAAAGTCAGCAAGTGGCCGTATATCCTTTTCTTCTCTTTCTTTGTGAGGAGGCATGTCACTGACTGGGTAAACTGTCATGTGCCCTGGCTGGCGGTTTGAACCTACCCAACAGAGCCTTGGAGGATAAGCCTTTTGATCTGCTTCCAGAAGGTATTTTAGGGAAAAATACACCTTCGAGTCAAGCATGTCTATAGAAACCATTTTATTAAAACATAGACTGGATAAAGACAGATCTTATTTATTTTAGAATCCGGGAGATCATCATCAACATGGTGTCAGAGATGTTCTACTCGGTGATGACTGCAGCACTGTTGTAGCCGGGACTACTGATGTGGGCAGAAGTCCCGATTGGGACGCATGCACATACACACACACAGAGACAGGAAAAGCTTACAGAATTGGTTCCAGGTTCTAGCCACTTAGTGGTCAGAGCTATGACTTCTGGTAATCATCAGGACATGCCCAGACAAGTCCCCTGGCTCTCCGTGCAAGGCCCACGTGTTACTTGCTGCTTCTTAGACTGGCCTAGATTTGAACTGGACACTCCCTCCAGGACAAAGCTGTACGGCTGGTGTGCTGATTGGAAAGAACTTGAATGGCATCTGAGCCTGCGTCCTGGGTGGAGGTGGAGTTAGTGCTGTTCCTCTGTCCTCATCTTCTGTAAACCAGGTGCTGCAGACACTCAGCATTATTCCATGGGAGACCATGAACACCTATGGAGCAGTTCTGCGCTGTGCACATGGACTCCCCACGGGCAGGAATAGAGGGGGAGGCACAGGGAGACGGGGTGAAGTCATGAGGACCAGGTTGAGCAGATTTACCACGGACCAGGCTGCCCAAGTCATTTCACTATGGTTCTTACCCCCAGTTCTAACACAGAGCCTGAATGCAGCCAGCCCTTCCCTTTTTTTGCCTGTGGCTTTTGTCTCTGGACCTTGGCATTTGCCCACACAGCAAGGCCAACTGTCTCTGATCCCTGGCTGGCGCAATTTCTGACCTTGAGGCTTTCTTCAGCCCCAAATTGTGTGACCTTGCACATTGCTGTTCCATTTTGAGGCTTCTCACAGCCCACTTCCCGTGGATACGTCTCCTTGTTCGGCATCCGCTGCTTTCCTCTCTTCCCCTCCCCTACATTTCCCGTTCTCAGTGTCTGCATGTGGCTAGTGTCACCACATTGGACCGCGAAGATGCGGGATATCTTGATCACCGCAGAAAGTGCCATGATGTAGGAACAGACTGTAAAATAAACAGGCTATGCATTTCAAAGCAATACTATTACTGTAGAAAGATGGGAGGTCTGAGAAAAAGACAAAGACCCTCAACAAGTTGGACTCTTAACAGTGGGCTCAGCATGTTGGAGACCATGAGGCTGGAACTGGACAGGGCAAGGTGCAGATCTATTGATTATAAGGTTACGATAAGTCACAGTAGACTTGATGGCACCTCATGACAGCATGAGTTGACTTGACAGCCATACCAAACGCTCTGCCTATGAAGGTCACTTGAGTCCCTCCCTGCACCTCCTTGCCTCTGCTGGACGCCCTTCCCAGTCGCTGCCCTGCACTTAGTCTAAATTCCCTCTGTTTTTTGTTATTAGTTATTCAGACTCCTGGTGACCTGAGTAAAACATAATGACATAGCGCCCAGACCTCTGCCATTTCCTCATTGTTGATGTGGTCAAGTGAGTTCATTGTTAGGGGCAAGTGAGCTCTCAGCACCTTCCAGCATGGAGGGCTCGCCTTCTCGCGCTTACCACCACCTAATGCCATTGAGTCAGAACTGACTCGCAGCTGACCCTCCGTTGGGTTTCTGAAGCTGTAAATCACATGCGTAAACATTGCCTGTCTTGCTCCTGAAGGGCCACTGGTGGATTCGAATCCACCATCTGGGTGCAGGCTTTGCGTTAGCCCTGTAACCCGCTGGACACACCGTTAGAGTTCCCTTCTAGACCGTTTTCCCATATGATCTTCATTGATCCAAATGGCCCTCATCGATCTGTATAGTTTTCAGAAATAGATCACTAGCCCTCTGCTTTGAGACTGTCCTAGTCCCCCACGGGTTACCCTGCTGGCATTTATAAGGCAGATGGCAGTGCGTCCAGCATCATAGCAACATGGCGCGCCACCACAGAGCAACACACGGAGTAGTGGTCCTGGTCCCCCACTTACCTCCTTCTCCCCCTTTGCTTCTGTTACACACCTCAGATTTACACTGTAGTAATTAGATTGATAGTGAAGGTTTTGAACTCATATCCCACCACCCCTGTCTTCCCCATTCCAGCCCTTGAACAGCTCTCCTTGTTCCTGGAATTCTGTCCAGCTTTTTAATCCTAGATTGATTTTGTCTCTTCTTTTTAATATATTTTAAGCGTGACAATCATTGTTTATTGGAAAAGATAGGCTTATTAAAAAAGTGAAGAGACAATGTAGAATTAACATGGAGAATGGGGCGGGTGATGTGAAAAGGGGGACAGGAACCCCTGAAGCCTCAGTCAGTCCTTTGAGTTCTCCTTGTTGAACATGTGCAGATTTACCAATCACCAATATCTGACAAAGCCATTCTGTGTCTGTGTTGGAGCAAGACAAGAATAAGGCCATTTCATAGGCACGTCTGTGCACAGACTAAAACAAGGACCTCGCTCAAACTACAAAATGACCAAACGCCCTTATTTATAGATGAGCGATCCTGCACCTTAAATAATTATATAGCTTTAGCCCTCCTTCATTCTTCTTGTTGTTATATGTCTTTTTTATATTTTTAAGTACCTTCTTAGTTGAACAAATGTAGGGAATACAGAATGATATTAATATTCATCCAGTTGTGGTAATTTGGTTCTCTCTTTACTGTCCAGTAAGACAGCTACTGGGTGTATATGTATATGAATTATAATTCATTCAGGATTCAGATGAGTTGTTCGTACGGTTTCTATGGGTCATACTTGACTTCAAAGCACTTAACAACAAGATTAAACCAGGCTGCTCCTTGGAGGCAAGGATTCTGAGGCTTCGTCTGACATACTTTGGACATGTTGTAAGGAAGGACCGGACCGGTCCTTGGAGAGGGACATCATGCTTGGGAGGGTGGAGGAACAGTGCAGGAGAGGAAGACCCTCTATGAGGTGGATTGATTCAGTGACTGTGGTAATCGGGATGGGTGTGTCAGAGGCAGTGCGATTGGCACAAGATAGAGCAGGGTTTAGGGCTGTTGTTGTCCATAGCGTCACTATGAGTCGCAAGCGACTTGACAGCACAGAAACAACAACATGATTGAAAGTTCACTTCCTTAGTTGTAGTTGCCACATTTGAAGTATTCCTGAGTCGCGTGTGGCAAGTTGTGACTGTTGGGTTAGCAGGATAAGCCTGTGTGCTCGGCCACCACAACCTTAGCCAGGGATAACCTCCTTGGACTGCACTGATGTATAAGATGTTTCATTGTTGGACACACATTCTGTTGGATAGTGTTGGACTATTGGATATATACCGTATGCGTGTCAGAGCTCTTTTGCCATGCTTTCTCCCTGGTCTGGTATTTTTGGATGATCTCATTTAGTGGTCACTGGTTTCAGGAAGGCAATTCAGAATCAGGGTGCATATATGAAAAGTAGGATTAAGTCATTTGATTTGGAGTGTAACGTGTAACATGACCCTCCTGTACAGGCAGGGCAGCAGCTGCATAGTCCTGTGTCTGTTCTGTGAGGTAATGTGCCTATGTTCTCTCTCTCTCCTTTTTTTTAAGGTGCTAAGAGATGGGACTTGTGAGGCTCAACCTGGCCTGAGAATCGTGGGGTGCTTGCTGCCCTGGAAGAGCCAACACTGACTCCTCGGTGCCTCGCTCAGACAGGCCTTCGCTTCCAGCCAGCCCGTTCAGCGGCCACGCAGACCACTTAGCGTTTCTTCATGATGGGTATCGGGAAGAACACCACGTCCAAGTCAGTGGAGAATGGAAGTTCAACGGAAGGCAAATACGAGGATGAAGCGAAGCATCCCACCTTCTTTACTCTTCCGGTAACAGTGCCCACTGCTTCCTTTCTCCTTAAATTGCTCTAAAGTCGCTTCTCTATTGAATCAACAAAGGATTAGCTTTAATACATGTTCTAATACGTGTTTTCATTGAAGGTTGAAAGCCAAATACTTTTCATGTGAGAAGGAGTCTCTGGGATTCTGCTGGCTGAACTCCTGACTCCTTGGTTCAGCGCGCCCCCACCCCCAACTCCACCCCGCACCCTTCAATCCTTGGGATTAATGGCAGGAAGGAAGCTCATACTGCTGTCAACATTTTAAAACTAGCCAGGTGCTTGCTGTGGTTCAGAGAATGTTGAGGGCTTATTTTTATCTCCAAAAATGTGCTCTGAAGATGTCATCAGACCTCAGACTTGTATTGCAGAGAGTAAGGATGAGTGGTTTGTAACGTTTAATGCAAATGCCCTTGTTTTGATGGCAGCGTCCAAAGAGAGGTGGTACCAGTCTGATAAAGTGGATTACACGTATTTCATTATATTCGATACCGCTATTTTTTTTCAGATCTTGGATTATGATTTGGTATATATAAAGTTACCCAGAGTTTTGGTTTACGAGAGAGAGTGAAAACAACACCAAAAAAACCAAAACAAAATCTCTTTAGATAGAACTTGCTTACAGGTGTTTTTCTCTTGGAAATGAGGTTGTTGATAAGAATACCTTTCTAGAATTCCTTAAAGTGTGCGTCTGGAATTTACTTCACTGTGGCATAACTCAGTAACAAAGATGTGTGCATACCAACTTTATGGTCAGTCTTTGACTTGACTTCATTTACTTTTCACCTTTAACTACAGAGACCCCTTCAACTTAATTTGACAGCTGCCATTAATCTTTCTTTTTTGAACCTGTGGAAAGAAATTCTGAGTACTGCTTAAAATTAAAAAAAGGACTTATGCATGAAGGCTTAAGGTCAATGCAGATTTTCTAGAGGAAGAAACAGTATAGCGTTAGCTTTTCCAATGTATGGTCACAATTAGAGGAGCTTTGAGGAATAAACTGGAAGTTCTCTGTGCATGGATATACCGACTTCTTTCTAAGGAAGCTTCTCTTTGCCCCTGAGGACCAGGCACTGCCCCAAAGAACTTGAAAGGGAGCTCTGGTAGCCTAGTGGTGAGAAGCTGTGCTGTAGTTCCAAAGGCAAGTGATTTGAATCCACCACCTGTTCCGTGGGAGAAGGATGGCCAGTCTCCTCCTGTGTGATTTACTGTCCCTGAACACCCGCTAGAGGCTGAGCTGTGGGTCAGTTCTGAGTTGACAGCACACAACAAGAACCCGAACCTGCTTCAGCCACCCACTTGGGTTGTCATTATGGTCTTTAGAATTTTTTCCGGCTTACCTATTTTAGCGTTAAAATCGTGTTCTTATACAGCTAGCATGCAAAGCCCTCAACATATGCTATTAATTTTCACATTCATATTGATTCTTGCATTCTGCTCTTTTTAGTTCACTTTTCTTGCTAAAAAATACCAGCATTCTATGGATAGTTATTGTTATAGAACATCTGGAAATAACTGTTTTACTCTGAAACTCCTTTATAAAATATTTTCATAATGACTAGTGTGTGTTTGCAGAGTGAGTTGGCATGCATTCGTATGTACCTTGTTTTATGGCACTGATTGCAAGGCTTGCATTGGTTCCTCCCTTCATCCTTCCATCCTTTACCTCTTGCCTTCTGAGTTTTATCTTTAGACAGCTGCTGCCTTGTGACCTGGGTGGGTGGTGGTTCTAAGTGTGCAGTGCTTTCCTGGTGGTGATGGTGTTCACCTTTTAGTCCCGAATATTGTTTTGCTGCGAGCTATGCCATAAAGGCAGGCTCCATTCTAGGCTCAAAGGTTAGGTGAGGGTCTTCGTCTCTAGGGTTTTACCAATCTCCATCAGGCCGGTAGGATTTTTATTTCATTCCACTTTTATCTCCCACTCTACCCAGGACCTTCTTTTGTGATCCCTTTCAGAGAAGTTAAAGTGGGAGCCGGGCACCATCTAGTTCTTTTGGGTTTAGCGCCATGGAAGCTGCAGATCACGAAGTCCGTTGGTGGTGGTAGTGGTGGTGGTGGTGGTGATGATGATGATGTGTACTGTAGAATCAGAACTGACCCATAGCTGAGCCTCCGGCAGGTTTTCAGAGACAGTTGCACAGGCGGAGATTGCCTATTCTCCAGTGAAGCTGCTGGTGGCCTCAAAAGACATGCCTTTGGGATTGCAGTGCAGCTTCTTGCCACTGTTGGTTTTATGGACTAATTATTTCTATATGCTTTTGATTTTCTCCACCCTTCTGTGCTCCAGACAGGAAGAGAGATCAATGGTAGTACGTTGATCTCAATGGTAGTAAGTGTCCACTTAATAAAATTTCTTGAAAACTTTATTTCTTCTTATAAGGTTTTAAAAAATGTTATTTTGGCATGAACTTATATTAATCTTATATAATAGATCGATTGGCAAGCTCTGGTGGCCTAATGGCAAGAAGCTGCACTGCAATCCCAGAGGTACGGGGTTCAAATCCACCAGATGCTCTGCGGGAGAAGGAGGAACAATCTCCTCCTGTACCAGTCAGATCTGATTTGACGGTACACACACAAGTAATAAAATAAAATTTAAAAAATAGATCGATCATGCACTGTATCCACAGAAGGTTGGAAAACCAAGCCATTTTCTGAAATTTAAGGTGTTGCATTATTTCACCAATCATTTGTTTATGAAAAATGAAAAAGGACACCTGGCCAATCACATACTCATTCAGCAGCTTCTCTGTGGACACTTCAGTGACAGTCTTCACATTTTGTCACCATTGTCACTGTCTCTCCCCCAGTCATTTCACCACAGTTGACTTAGATCCCCTGCCTCCTTCACTGCTTGTCTGTGTTTTGAGTTACTGTTGTCAGTTTGATTTAATGTAGGGAATTCTTTAAAAGACTACAGTGTTTAGGATAAGAGTTTAAAGATGACTGCTGTGGATGGGTTTTGTATCATCCCCCCTTTTTGATCTGTTTTTAATAAAAAATGTTCAGTAATGGGAGCTGGACATCACTCAGTTCCTGGTCTCCTGGTGATGGAGGCTGAAGCTTATGAAGGCAGCTAGACCAGCAGTCTAGTTCTTTCTCTGGTTCCTGAATCATCTTCTCTTGATGCTACACAATGGAGATGACTTTGTCTAAGACTCCAAGCACTACTAACCAAATTACAGAACAGAGCATAAGCTCTCAAGAAACAGGGATTTGAGGGAGCTTTGGTGGCCTGGTGGGAAGAAGCTGTGCTGCAATTCCAAAGGTGCACAGTTTGAATCTACGAGATGCTCCACTGGAGACGGAGAGGCACTCTCCTCCTGTACCAGTTGGATCCAATCCGATAGTACACAACTAGAAAGAGGAAAAGAAAAGAAAACAAAATAATGATTTGCCAATTGGGCCATTCCTTGAAGCCATAAGAACCTTGGAACCAAGTGAATTACTCTCATGAGATGTTTAGTTGTGCTGAGGGAGCTTTGATGACCTAGTGGAATGGGTAAGGAGCTGCACTGCCAACCCAAAGGCAGGCAGTTTGAATCTATCAGTTGAATCTATCTATCTCCTTTCGGGCCATTTACAGCCCCTAAAAACCAGTTAGAGTATAGGGAGCTCTGGTGGCCTAGTGGCAAGAATTGCACTGCAATCCCAGAGGCACATGGTTCGAGTCCATCAGATGCTCTGCTGGAGAAGGAGGGACAATCTCCTCCTGTACCAGTCAGATCCGTTTTGACGGTACACACACACACACAAAATAATAAAATAACCCAAAAACAAAAAAACCAGTTAGAGTCAACTAGGAGTTGGTTCTTACCTAACAGCAATGAGTTGAGTTGATGTAATCAGCTATGGCTCCCTTTAAAAAATAGTTATTAAAAAATAAATTATATATATATGTTTGTGTGTGTGTACACATGTTACTTTTGTTGTAAAATTGTGTATAGGAGCATTTGCCTGCTCTAAACCCTTTAAGTGAACATCTAGTAATTATATACCCGATTTATCCCATTTATCTCCATTTGTCCATGACTGTCTTTTTGTGAGTTTGATTGTTTTCTGATGCTTCATTCCAGGTGAATTTCCTAGTATTATTTTACAGTTCCCTAATTCCTAGTTCACAGTCATGTGCTTCTGCTCTGTTTTCACTGTGATGATTGTATTTCATATTGCCCAAATTTCAGTTTTAAAGTCTATTTTTTATTTTTATGTTCTTGTTTGAAAGTATGTGGTTTTCAAATATGAGTTTTTAATTTTGGTTTAGTTTTCATTTTTCATCATTGTTGACCGTAATATACTGGATTTAAAGTCAATCTCCCATAGCTTCATCTGGAGTGACATTTTTGCTTGGTTGATCATCCAGGTCCCACGTCCACTCCAACCACACACCGTTCTGCATCTTATTTTCTTGAATCCAGTTCTATATCCCCTTGTGATGTAGACACTTAAGAGTTATTGCCTCGCCCCTGGCTTTGACCAGGAATCTGCCTGCAGGAGCTGAAGACTGCTCAAAATCAGTCCTGTTTTCTTTGCATTCTCACATATATAGAAGTGTAAAAGCTTGCCAAGTCTTGGATCTCCCCTGCTGTAAATGTTACACTTCTCAGAGTTGAGTTTGGGAAGGCAACATTTCTGTGGACACTGCTTTCCAGATTCATCTTCCCCAGGAGGCCTGGCGAGTGCATGGGAGCTGAGAATGGGGACATAAATGTAATATGGATATAAAGTGGTTTAGTACCAGAGCAGTTTATGTAAGGAAGTTAAGGCATTTTTATCTTAGTGTCAGGCTATAAATGTAAACATTGAAAAGGCAAGAATTCCATTTTTAAAATTACACAAAATTGAACTGGAAAGAGGTGAAGTAGAGTTGGAATTATGGGAGGAGAAAGAAGGGCCAAAGGGAGAGATCCTGCAGGTTCCCCTTGGTATGCCACCACGTGTCTTCATCTGCACTCCCACAAAACCTGTGCAAAACAGAGGGTTGACCAGAGG